GAAAATTCGTTCCACCCACCTAGGTAGCAAAACTATTTCTGGAAATGGCAAGAAAACGGCGATTTTCAAAAAATTATAGCTTCGAGATGCTTGGGCCGGGAGCCGACTTCTTGGGCTCATCGGAAAGATCATTTCTCCGTGTTTAACTTTTCCGCCTCAGCTGGCTCCTCCCTTTAACAACAAGCGAGCAAAAAGCAAATGTTTGAAGGTTGTTTTGAGGCCCTTGATTGGCCGTGGCCGCCATGTTGCCTCAGCTTGCCTCGCCATTGGCCCGATGCTCGCTCCGGGAGATCGTCGTCTGCTGCTTGTACATCGCGAGAACATGGCTCTCGAAAATCGCCACTTCGTGACGTGTTCACGGCTTGATAATCACTTAAGATATAACTACGCTTTAGTTACGAGCAGTAAGCGGATGCGCGATCAGGTTATTACAAGCGTCAGCGCGGTCTACAAGCGCCGCGCGTTATTGGAGTCGTCTTTAGCCCTTACTCCGCCGACAGCGAGACTGCGGGCAGGAACGACGCGCTAGCGCATTCGTGGTGACGTGCTTCTTCGCAAGCAACGAAGCTGTAAGCGGCGGCACGATCTGATTACTACGAGTGTCCGCACCGGATGCACGATCAAATTACGAGCGGGCGCGCGGCGGTCTATGAGTGCGGCGCGTCATCGGAGTCGGCTTTAGGCCTAACTCCGCTGACAGCGAAACTGCAGGCAGGAACGACGCGCAAGCGCACTCTTGGTGACGTACTTCTTCGCAAGGAATGTAACACATCACTCGCTAGCTCCTCTGAATATTGTACGGGCATTTTACGCATCGGCAGCGAACAACACAGTCAAGCTCGTCACCCCCCCCCCCCCCCCCCCCCCTTCACTGCCAAGGATCGCTCGGAACAGCGGCTAGCAGTTTCGTGCGTCGTCATTCGAAAATGCGATGCCAAGTGCAGTGCGTGCCGATTTTTTGTCTTCGTAGTTACACATTTCGCGCATCGTCATCGAACGCCGCCGGCAAGTGCATTACGTGCCGGCTGCACTGTCCGCGCGGCCGCGCACCCCACGGTCATATGGAGTGCTGTCAGTAAGCTTTTGTGATGCGATTCAGACGTGCTTGGAGCCGTGCTTGATATCGCCACGAACGTCTATGAATGTTCCGAGGTTAATGAATTGCTGTAGATTAGAGTTTCCGCGACCGGCTGTAAGATGATGCGTTTCACGGCTAGAGCGGCACAAGAGCATGTGTGAATCAGGGGCTCGAATTTTTATATGGCCGTTTCGAGTCATTAATTATACTGCTAGAAATTCCCGTGCCACCAGTCTTCTGCCCATAACTTTGTTATTCAGAAGGAAGGCATAGGCCGTCATGGTGTGATCCATTTTTCTGATGCAATAAACTTCTCTCCAAATAAAGAAAAATTTCAGTGAATATTTGTAATCAAGTACTTAATTACGCTAATTACAACTTCAGCACAAAAAAAAAGTATGTGTAATAATTTCAGTATATGGTTTTATTCAATTACAATCTTTTCTTTCATACCTATCACACCACTCCTTCATACAAAGAACTTGGTTTGAAATCCATACTTGTTCTTTGTAACTCATGAAAAGGAGTAAATCATGAAAAGAAGTTAAATATCACAAGACAAACCTGAGATCACAATTTTTAGGTGTCTTAGAGACGTAAAGAAGAGTTGAAACTTTAAACGCAGCTTTCTCAATACTGTTTTTTTTTTTTTTTTGACATTATGCTCAGCCTCTCCACATGATTGAATGAAGAAATAATTTGTTTCTCGTAAAGTATTCGCGGTATCGCTTCAAAATTTTTATGGAAGCACTGTGAGGTTATTTTTAGTGTCTGTGCCAATTTTGGTCTGTTGATGGTCCGTTGACCAATCCGATGATTGGTCCGTTCCATTGTTTCTGACAATGTGTGTCGGCAGCCATGATGATCTCTAAGAAAAAAAAAAGAGAACTTATTAAAAATTTCGAGAGTGTCATACCCTGTAGCTTTCTTTTGAGTAAAGATCAACACCATTCGCAGCTTCCTGGCATGTTTTGTTGCAGCGCTAGGCTTTCCACGAGCAGACCATGTAATTGGATCGTGTAGCATTATGTAACTTGAGAAATACTGAAGCTATCATGATGAAACTGCATATTTCCCTATTCTAGACACTTATGAGTATGCCTGCCAAATTTCATTGCTGTAGGTCAACAAATAAAAAAGTTTTTTTTCAAAGCCGCCTCCCCCCTTAAGGGAGGACACTGTACTTGAGACGAAATGTCAGATATTTTCATGCGTTTATAAAGAAAATTCACAGTGTGATTGAGTTCCTTGATGTTGATTTCAAAAATGCAATTACTGTTCCTCTAAACCAATTAGTTTTTATGATATCCTAAAGTTAATCACCTATTGTTTGCCAGTATAATGAGGCAGGAAATTTGTATCGCGGAGCTACTATTGGCACATGCCTGTATACTAGTGAGCATAAGCTACACAACGGTAGGAATGCTTTTTTTATTTGATAATTTTAGCAAGGTTTGTCACACCTTGCACTTCAGTGTTTCATGCACGCCCACTTTATGCTCCAATCTCTGACAAAAATTAAATTTTTTGAACATCTTAATCAAAAATTTACACCTCCGTTGTGTAAACTAAAGATACAGCTACATGTCACAACAAAAATGGCAGTCCTTGTTGCTTTGGTGGCAGAGATATATTTTAGACAAGTTTGCAACTGCAGCAAAATTTTAATCCTGAGAAATCATGCAAAAAGACAAGAAGTCCATTTTGGGCAGACAGCAGCATGGAAAAGCTGTTTATTTACAATGAATTTACAACCTACAACCTAAATGGCGTTTTTTCCATGCCCGCTGCACGTTTACTGCAGAGGCACACTTGCGAGCTGATGCGGTCGCCTTGGGCTCGTCTGCCAACTAGGCCGCTTACCAGTTCGGTGACGCCTATGTGCGCGCGTAATCTGCGATCTGTCCTATAATAAAGCGGTTTTCCAGCTTGTCCAGATTGAGTTGTTGATGTCGCAGACCAAACTCATGCACTCACTCATCGATTTCAAGGCTCCAAGAGCAGTGAGTCGAGTGAAGGCCGCGGCGCAATATGTTCATCGTTGCGGACGCGTCGTTACAAGCACTCTATCTGTTGCCAGTATCCTTCATTGCGCGGGCGGCGAGCACGTTCACCGTAAACAGATTGATTTTCTGCTATTTGCCGACGCGTGGCGAACTCCACTCTGGCGACCCGTCACGCAGTTCACGTCAGACGGGGAGAACCTGCGGCATCGGTGCTTTTAGCGATAAGGCTGCGCTTCCGTTCTATCATTGCAAAGATTGCTATCTCTCGTAGCTTCGCTTCTGCTTTTTTACTTGCCATCCTGTAACTGTTGAAGCTCCAAAACATTGCCGCTTTCAGCGACGTTGTCTACAACCGACGGGCTCGTACGTGAGTTAAGCCTACACCGGTGACTCGTCAACTGCTGTTGAACGCCGCGAGTTTGCTATCCTCTCTGTCCTGAGTGATAGCGAGGCTCTTTCTAAAGTTCACAGCGAACGAACCATTGCCACACCCGCTTCACAAATTAGTGCAACGAGGAACTTTTTTACTGCGGCAGGCAGTCGACAGCACCATGACAAAATGGCGCATCTTTGTGACAAATGCGGTAGAGAATACGCGTCAGAGAGGAGACGCGCTAGGTGCACCTCTGGGGAGAGAGCGATGAAGTAATTATGGGAGGGGGGGAACCGAAGTGTACCAACCAAGGGCGGAGGGAAGACCCTGGCACGCTGCGCGGGCTCGCTTCCTTTGCACTGGCGCTGGCGCAGCTACAGTGTAGGCATCACTAGCGTGGCTCCTGCTGCTCACAGCTAGACTGGGCACGTGTGATCTTGTTCTTATCAAGTGCGCTTAACAGTTTCCTGTTGGAAAAAAGCATCATCATTATCGAGCTTTTCACAACTGTCGTGTTTGCTATCTCATCGCTGTCTCGTCCGTAAATTTAAGAACATTTACTGTTTTACGACGCGGGCTTTCCCCTTTGCTGCCAGTGAACTGTCTTATGTAAGCTTGGCGGGTTTTTGTTGTCCTCTATCTCCCGGCTATAAATGCGAACTTTGTATCATATACGCTGTTCTCAGTTCAGTGCTTGAGTGCTATCTTTTCGACGCCGTATCTTCATGTTTCACTCAAATTTTCTACGACAACCTACCGAACAACAGGCTAGGCCTCATCGGCATTGGATGCATATCAGCAGCAGTTGCATTGCATTATAGGTTGCTGTTTGTTACGGACTCAACAAGACTCTTTGCAGTAGCTGCACTTGACGGCAAGGGATACATATCGTTAATGAAAACGAGGGTGGCGCTCGAATGGTGTGGCACTCGAATGGTGGTTCGCAATTCGATTGCAATGTCTTAAAATCAGGTGCGCACCCGTGAAGCGCGTGCAATTCCGAGCATGATTCGACATAGTTTCTGTGTATTATACATAATTGGGGCGGTCCGAGTAGTCTGCGAATTTCCGCGATAGTGATTTCATTTGTTAGACACCCCCCCTCTGTTTCGCGTTCATTTCGTTAGCAACGCGCATCTTTGGACTTTTTTTGCATTTGGAAATTGAAATGCTTGTAAGCACCACGCATCGCATGCTTCGATTCTTGCACACGTGAGGCTGCATGCTAAACACCTTTTGAGCAAGTGCGGCCCTTGACGAAATTTGTTTTGGTTATAATGCGGTACCACTTATAGTGCGGATGTTCGCGACTTACGTTATGAGCCGTCTATTCTTTACAATACTGATAAAATACTGAAACCATTCACCTACTACTCGGCCAATACCCTGCATTTGGGTGTGAGTCGTGAGAGGAGACGAGGAGTTTACAACTGGTTTAGAAATGCTGCTCTTCCAACCTTCGCTGTGATTGTGCTGCGCTTTCCCTGCAGTCCTTGTATTTTTCACATGCTGTACCTTCTGCGTCATCTATGCTCTCTCGCAGGCGTACTACGCCACTTTCGGCGACACAGTCAGCAACGACATTCGCCCAGGCCAGGCCTGCGTGGCCCTGTACTCCGAAGACCAGCAGTGGTACCGCGCCCGAGTGGTGCATGCCAAGGCCGGTATGCTGGGCGTTCAGTACGTCGACTACGGAAACTGTGAAGAAATTCCTGAGGGCTCGGTGCGTCAGGTAAGCATGCTTGCCTCGTTGGAATCTGAAGAGGGTGCCTCGGTGAGATATGAGCACCATTTCAGCGCTTGCTTGGGTCTTTGTCTGGAAACATTTTAACAATTCGCCACCTTGCTTCTCTCACACAGGGTTCTCTGAAGAAGGTAAGCGCACCTGCCTGCTTTCCACCTGCTTGCTTTCTAGATGCATGTACATGTTCACACCTGCACATTTCTTTTGTTTAGTTTCGCTTTCATTCACTATCAGGGTCGAATCGATCACGATTGGTTCGTTCATGCAAGCTGCATGAGTGAGGCAGACATAGTAGTGATATTCGATCTTGATTGGGCTCAAGGCATTGCTGAGCGAATTTGAGTGAAACTTTTCATGACAGAAAAGCTTTAGCATGCGACCACCTTTCTTTCCATAGCTTCTAGAGGGAAATCTGGTGCTGTTATTGGTCAACCGTTACGGAAATGGTGGTTAGCACCATAATTGCATCAAATATGGGCCTAAATTTGTGAGCCGTGGCTGTGGGGATGGTTTTTAGAGAAAATCTACGAACTGTCCGCCACTTCCAGCAAAATCGCACACAACTGGAAGCATCGCCTGCTTTCTTCATGAAGTGTCAAAGTTCTAGCCCGCCCAACACCCCAAACATCCTCAGCATTTGTTATTACGCTTTCTTTATCAAAGGACTTATAATTGTGAAGGCCATGCCTGGACGCATTCTTGGTAATGGCCTATTCAGGCACATATTGCATTATATTCAGGTTAGAATGGTCACTTCAGAGAGCCACGAAGTTGCTTCGAGCCGGAGGGCAAAATGTTTCAAGTTCATATACTACCCATGCTTCCCACCTTAGCTGAGCCCACATGCTTTCGGCTGTCATAGAGTTTCCCTTCATTGATTGTTAAAAGGTATCATTATGGTTAGCTGTCAATTCTGCCACCTGTCTGTGTCCAGCAGTATCGTGGTGGTATGCTGAAGCCCTTCATTGTTTGCAATCACCCATGGTCTTTCTGTCATGCAGGTTGTGTTCCCTTTGCACCTGTCATTGTCATGCATTGTCATTTTGAGGCACGCTTGAGCATGTGGTCTTGCTCTGCAAGCAAACTAGACAGACCAGAAGCCAATTTACTTTGGAGCTATCGGCAGAGCCCAGCCTGTTGGCGAATGAATATTTTGTTTCTACCCCCTAGTCTTGGACACCTTGTTTTTTTAGTTGATCTTTTGTAGTAAATTATCAAGAGACTAAGTACGGTAGCTGTCCAAGATAAGCAGTCGGATGCATAAGGGGCTAAAAAAAGTGCTTCAAAGGGGGTTCTCGCAATCAGATTTTACTATGGTTGAAATCGATTGTCTAGACCCCTGTGTGGTCGGAGATTACATTAGCGTTAAAATTATAACCCCAACTTCATCAGGCCAACTTACCAAGTTGCATTCTTCTCTGTATGTTTCAGTGAATGAACAAATGATTTTATGACAAGATATATGAGGAGACTTACTACTTTTTCCACTTGATGGGATCTCTAGCATCTAACTGTTTTATATTGTTTTTTTATGTTCATAATGGCCCATGGTGGAACTTGAAAAGTGGTTGAAGCGGTTGAGCATCTGATCTGAAAAGTTTGGGGGGGGGGGGGGGGGTAAAGAATGAGAAGAAACAAAAGCTGAAATTCGTCTTGTTCTAAGTAAGACAAAAGCGTTCTAGCAGTTTACATTTCTTTAGTTCTCCCGTGATGCAATCTGTCATATTTAATCCTCCCATCGTGAGTGGCCTCAGCTGGTCTTCAGCTGCCTGCAGTAAGCACCGTGGTGGTACCACATCGCTCCAATCGCCAGCAAGGCGGCTGGGCAGAAAGCCAGCTTGGGCTTTTGTCATGGCATTGCATTGGTGGTGGGTGGTTGTGAGCAGCAGAAATAATTTTGCTTCCTTTCCTGCATGGGCGGAGTCTGCACTTGCATTTGGTGTCGTAATCACCGTGAACGGTAAGTGGGGACTTAGATCGCTAAGAGCAATGGTAAATTTGGTCAGAATGTCCGATATTCAATTATTTTTTTTGTAATTCAGAGATCATGTCTTATGTCAGAATGAAATATTGTACCAAATTTAGCACTAGAAGCCGAAAAAAAAAAGGCATTTTGCCAGTGTGCTGTCATCAAAAACTATGAGAAAATTGGGCTCTGGAAAATGCAAGTCTGCAGGTTTCCGATGGCACAGTGCCACCATAATGGCATCATTGGAGAAGACAGATTTGAGCTCAAGATAGCCACAAAGCTGCATTCTCTAATGAAAAATCAAACCTCTTTTCTTCAGAGCTCCATTTTTTTAGCTCTGAGCACTATTTTCGTAGAGCTCCAGTTTCCCGGCTTTCATTTTCTGAGCAGTTGCTGGCAGTCATCATCCCTATTTTATTTCATAGCAAATGTTGTGGTGATCCAATTGTGCCATTTTGCTACAGTTTCATATCTCTGCACCTTGCTATGCGCTTTCGGATACAGCTTGCACGAATGTTCACTAGTCCGCCTTCTTACTCGGCTACGGACCGTTTGTTGCCTAGAACCATTTTTGATCGCAACAAACACTAGAGCTTTTAAATGCGAATGCATTTCCTAGTCTGGCTATATCAGGCATTCGACGTTCGCGCACCGGCAGGCATTATCTCTTCACTCACTTTCTCCCATAGCAACAGCTGCGGGCACAGGCGCTTGCCCCTTAGCAGCTGGAGCATGCGGTGCGAGAGAGTGTAAGAGAGGGTAGGTGGAGAGCTCCGCCGCTCCTTCTCTCACTGTTCGTTTTCTCTTCTCCCTGTGCCTCACTCTCTACCGTTTGCTGGCTGGGCGCCTCTCAAGAATATCCGGGAATGTGTGCTCGAGACTGCCGCTGTGAAATGCCGAGCTGAGCATGCTGGCGCCCCACTCTCCCGTCCGCTTACTCCTCGCTCTTGACCGTTCGCTGGCTGGGCGCCTCTCAAGGCGATGGCAGAAGTCTGTGAAAGCGAATTTCTGATGGCAACGGTACCCTCTTTCGACGCAAGAAATGCATTCACATTTCCTCACGATCCCCTTAGGGAATTTTCATAATGCCACTACTAACCTAAATATCTGCGCATCTCCATTGTTGAAAGTTTAGCATGTCAATAGCTTCTCTCATGGAACTGGTGTAACGCATAGAAAATACTTTTTTTTTTTTTTTCGTTTGCGATTCGCTTCAGGTATCCTAATGTAGTCACCGTGGCTATTGGGCAACAGGTCTCGGCACTGTGTGCTAGAAACTTCTTATTCACGCAAATTAAGATTGAGCCGTGAAACATATTGTTTGATATTTCGCAAAAAAAAAAAAAAGGTAGATGCCTCTTGATCGTGCTGCACAACATTCTTCGGTATGCGTATCCTGAAGTAAGCTTAAATATCTAAACATAGCGCGTCTGGCACGATGTAGTGCAACTGCTTCTCGTGAATTGTGTTTCTGGTGTTGGTTCCACCAGAAACTGTTGCTGTTTACTGAGCATGGAGGCCGCCATTGGTCGATAGTCGAGCGATGGCAATGCGACTGCCTCGCTTTCGCTACTGGCCATTGCACTGGCTCGCTTCCTAGCCGCTGACAAGTTGCTCAGTTGTCCCCGATTGCTAGTGCTGCTGGGCGCTATCTGATGCCTTTTTTAATGCCAATGCTTTTCGTTCTTTTTACGCTTGGCTGGTGTGGTCACTGATCAGTGCGACGATTCATCCGCATTATCAACAAAATCTGTCACTCGCGGCTAGTGGATGATCAGAATAGCATAGAATAAGGCATAAATCACTGCTCCAATATACCATGCCTGCTTCTCGGCATTGTCTGATGATACCTTTCGAATGTGGAAAGTGGCTAGTCTCAAAGTGTTTGGTTCACTCACCGAAGCTGTTGCTTCAGTGTGCTTTTCAACATTGTGTCGCTATGCATCTGTGAGAATCACGTCAAGACACTGCTGGAAAAGAAAATGAAGTAGCCGACTTTTTTCTTTGATTCGGGAATAAAAAATATCTTTGTTTTGCTAGTGCAGGCCGGCTGTACCTTTATTTTTTCACTACAACGAAATTTTCGCACCCCGTCAGTTTCGTTGTAGCGGGTTCGACTATATCTGCTTTCATTTCTCGCATTTTGCTGTACATTGGATAGCAACAACAGTTGTCAATTGCACCTACTGGAATACAGCGTGTTCCTTCAGTGGTGAATAAGGAGAGATAATCAGTGTGAAGGTAATTGAAATTGTATTGTTATCGAAATGCGATAATCCAGAGTGCAAGTTAACTTCAAAGCAGAATGTGGCGCTGTTGTTTAATCATGGCTGCATGCTTAAGAAAGGCCATATCAATATGTTGTTCGCGACACATCTCTCGCCATGCGTTCCTTGCAGATCCTCGCAAAATATGCCGAACTGCCGGCACAGGCCATTCGATGTCGGGTCCGTTCAGTGGCTCCCCCTAGCGGTCTCTCTGCATGGCCGATTCTGAAAGACCAGACGCCGCTGCAGCACATCTTTGACGGCGTGTTCCTCTGCCGGCCGGCTGCACAGAAGGACGGTGTTCACCTTGTTGACCTCGAACGCCAGGGCGGTGGGCCGTCTCTCGTTGAATCTCTCGTTGCAGCCGGGCTCGCTGCAGATGCCACTGCTATGCCCCGCGAGCTGGGATCTGCATCCGAGGCCAGTCAGAAGCAGCCACTGAGAGCCGTGGTTTCACCTGCTGAGTTTGTTTTTCATCCGAAGCAGTTTGTTGACGTCAAGGTTGGTTGTTGCGCATGGGATTGTCCTATAATTTGTCACATCTGACGTGAAGTTCGAAAAAGTTTGTGACGAGAACATTCTTCATTTCCTTAATTATAGCCATCAATTCATTATACCCATGTTTGTGAAAGGCTGTAGGAGGTTTGAGTGTAAAACTTCTGGTTTGATTGCATGCTGCTGTTTTATTAGTTGCAGTTAAGCAATTACTCGTGGTTAATTTTTCAGCAGTAATACAGCTTCACTCACTAAGTCTTTCTCTATTACTGGAGTGTTTGATTATTACTTGAATATTTTAGTGCAGCAGTCAGTATGTGTCAATGTGTACTTGTGAACTGTTCCTCCGTCAAATGCATGCCATCTCAAGACTACTTGCTACCCTGAAATGTTTGAGCATAACAGTTCCTTTTTGGAGGAGTTTTTTATTATAGTGAACAAGCAGAACACTGAAGTCTCTTGATTGTAACTATTGCTTAAATAAAAACAGCTGCTTGTAATATGATTAATTTCCTACTTGAATTCCCATTTTTGTTCCTCTTTCAGTGAACTGAACTCCTGTTAAACAGAAGAAATTTTCCTGATCCCTTCAGGTTCCATTTACCAAATTCAACTGTATATCCATTCTGCTCTTACAAGCTATAACATGTAAATTGAGAATGGTTACAGAGACTAGGTGACTAGTCGAGATGGAGCTACTTTGGTCAAAATAATGATTAGTGTGGTTGCATATTGTGTATCGGCTTATCTCTGTATTCACGTTCCCCGCGACGCTACAGGTTACTGCTGTGGTGTCGTTGTCGGAGGTGTGGTGCTGTTTTGTGGAGAGTGTGGAACCCATGGCCAAGGCCCTCCAGGAGGCTGGCGATGTGGCACCCAAGTTCCGTAATCCGGTGCCCGGTGAAGCCTGCGTGGCACGGCTGCCATCGAAAGATGAAGGAGCTGAAGGTGATGCCGTGCTCACGCCCTGGGCGCGGGCCGTGGTGAAGTCTCGCCCTTCCCCGGCCAAGCTGGAGCTGTTCTTTGTCGACGTGGGTGGTACCAGGGTGGTGCACCACTCTGAGGTATGAGCCCGCATTCCTCATTGGTAAAATGCAACAGGAGCATGTTCTGCTGGCACGTTATATCGGTGTCACGAGGCACTTTTGCTTTGCAACGTCACGACGACTGTTCCACAATTGTCCAAAACTGCGAAAACCTTATCAGCCACATTGCTCGAGCAGATGTTTTGCTTTCACCTAGTCTTCATGGCCGAAACATAACTCATCTCATTTCTGGTGTGGCCATAAATGAGCTGATAGATCATCATCCCCTCAAGAAGGCTTAAAGAATTAACTGGGGAAAAACTGGATCGAAATTGATTTAGTTAATCCTGTCTTACCCTTTCCGCAAGCGACGCTAAATTCCCAAATTATGCTTTGAAGAAAATAGTCCTTGAAAATTTTGTAGCAGTGTCACTTCGTCCAAAATGCACAAGCGTTGGTGTTCTTGCCTGCAGGCAACCTTTTGGACCTCTACTATGCTACTTGGCAAGTCTATTGGCCTCTTATCATTTGCTGCTGATGCTTTTACTAGGCTTGTGCGAATAGTGAATTTTTGGTTCGAAGCGAATAGTGATTTCGATCGAATAATTTTGAATCGAATTCGAATGGTATGTCTGACATACAAAAAAAGGAAATATTTATCATGACAAAACTAACCTGCACAATGTTTCTTTTAAATTGAAACTGTGGCTCTATGCAAATGCCATTTATATTTTCGTTCAAAGGAAGTGAAAACAACCTTGACTAGTAGTTTCGGTAGGATGCGAGTGATAACCTGTGAGATACGTAATGTTTTAAAATTTATAATACTAGGATTATATAGGCTGTCATAATAAGCTTAATGAAATGAAGAATTGATTTGAGGGTTACATGTTCCTTTAAAGGGGCCCTGCAACACTTTTTCAAGTAGCCATGGAGCCTGTAAACATGCTTGTTGCCTCACAAATTGACTGCAGCAAAGTTTCTAGAATCAGTCCAGCATGAGCAGAGTTCAAAAATTGGCGCGCGTAGCAATGGGATTCTCTCTTCTCGTCCTGACGAAATAGCTAGAAGCTAAGCAGGGAGGAATGGCACGGCGAAAGAAAATACTCTACACGCAGCTCATGACCTTGAGCACCTTTTTTTTTTTTTTTTTTTCTTCGAATACGCGGCTTTTCAGTGCGATCGCACACATACTCGTGGACAAGCGGCAGCCCCAGTAACGACAAGTGCACCATGCTCATATCAGCCAATGGCTGTGACCAGAGCTGTATTAGTTGTGACGTTGACGTGGATGGGGCTGAGGAGCTCATGCCAGTGGCATTGCGCGACACTCTTCGGGGCGTACGTTTTGCCGATTATGTTGAAGTTGACACCGGTGCATCGGTGTGTGGTGCCCTGACTGATGAGGACATTATCGCTCAAGTAGCCGGTGCGCAGCCTGATGCTAAAGCGCAGCCTGATGCTAAAGAGCCAGAAGATGATGAAGACGAAAATGACGAAGCGCCTGTGCGTCCGTCAGCTTCTGCGGTGATGGAGGCACTTAATGTGGCACGTCTCTTCTTCAGCTTTGAAGAGGGTGAAGAGGATTCCCTGCGCCGCGTCTGCGCACTGGAACAGGGAGCCGCAGCTGTGGCATTCAGAGAAAAGAAGCAGATGGTCATCACCGACTTTTTTGGCCAATAAATATTTTTCGTGCGCCCACCCCCGAAATCCACCCATTTTTGCTCACTTTCATTATTTCGAATTTTGTTTAATTCGAAATTGCTCAGCGTTCCCGTGGAATTCGAATTAACGAGCTTTTACTGTATATTTCTTCTTGGCTGTGACAAGTGATTTTTGAGCCTGTAGTGTCACTTCCCGAGGAAAGAAAGCAGTTTTAGCTTTGAAAATTTATTGTGAATTACAGGCAACGTGCTGCGCTACAATATTTGCCTCGCGTGTTTTCGGTAGCCTCGACTTCCGATCGGCAGCGTTTTCTGACAATGTCCAGTTAATGTTGCAACGCCCCTTTAAATTTGAAGGGGCGCTTCACGGCAAAACAAATGTTCTTCAAATAAGCGTTTTCACTGTTACACACTCCTACAGTGCAGTGAAACCACCTCTACAAGCGGTGACGTGCAGATTAATATACGATGATTCGATCATTGCGAATACATAGAAAATATTCGATAATTTAAATTCGAATCAAAGCAAATTCGAATACTCAACTATTCGTTTGAATATTCGAAGCATTCGAATATTCGCACAAGCCTAGCTTTTACACAGTCCCCTGGAGCTAAAGTGCTCTAGGCTTCATGTCAACATAGGACATACTAGGGTGCTATTCTCGTGGTGCCCACTTGGGGCTCCCCTGATTAGCTGAAGCTCGGCGAGATGCCCACTGCCTCTTTCCAGTCTTTTTGTGCTCAACGTCCTTTTGACAACATGAAGCTTCCCCAACTCTTGACATGAGTAAAAAAGACTGACTGCGTTTCTTCGCAACGAATGCTGCCCCTGATACGCTTTGCACTTGCATCTTGGTGGCTGTGCATGAATTTGAATGGCGTTAGCACTTGGATTGCGTTTGACATGGCTGCCCACCTGATGCGCCACGAAGGTCGGTATGCCATACCTGCCAAGTCTCCCGGATTGTTTGAGAGACTCCCAGATTCTGACTTTTTCTTTCGTTTGTACTGCTGTCATCTCCCGGAAATAGAAATTTTTGTGCGTGATCTGGCCGCGTTGACAATAATGAAGGTCAGGCCGCTCAAGGCTTCTTGCGAAGCAACTGCATTTTATTACAAGCGAATGTGCGAGGCACTCATCTAAAGGTACGGTAGTCTCAGTGATGCTAAATCGTGGCAGATACCAATTCGTGAAATTCTCCAGCCAAATTCCACTGTGTCCATTGGGCCAAAATTCAAATGTTCCGAACACCTTTTCTAATCGTGGCATGTCATATAGGCTGATCGAGAGTAGCGTGCTCTAAGCTTCAAAATTACACGTGCGACCAGCGCACGCACTGTCTTTTAGAGTGTGTGTGGTTGTTGCCACAACCACTGTGGATGAAATGGCGGTCGTTCTTGACACGACCATGTATGGCGACGACGTTACTGACAGAACTCCGAAAGTGTGTGTGCGCGTCAAATGCTCGAGTACCCAGTCACAAGCAGCGCTGCTTTCCGCAAACTTGCGGACAATACCGCGGCAGATGCAATCATAAATAGCATAAAACGACTTAGTTTCGAAGGCACATGCGTTGGCTGCGGTCGCGGCGACGCGATAGCGATTTACGGGCTCCGAGGGCACGTGGTTAGCATAGCGGTAGATTAAAAGCAGTAAAAACGTCAGAAAAAAACAAGCTAGAAGCGTTTTGGTGTTCCTGTCCAAAGAATCTAGTAGCGAACAAAGCCAAAGCTTTGAACCGCGCTTTCGTGGCAGCCAGCTGCGCCTGTTCTGTCTGTTCACGTGTCCCAGAAAGACATACACGATTTCTTTTGCTAGAAATAGATTTTGCTAGTTGTTTTGATGACGCAAAATTTCGAGAGTATTTGCGCCCCCCTTTAAGAGAATCGCCTTAGTGTGTTCCCACCTACCTTGTGTGTTCGACCTCTCCTGGCCATCATAAAACGGCAACGCCAATGTTGGCGCTTGCAATTGGGATTCTCCCCCCTTCCTCCATTTTTTTTTGTGCAATGTTTTTTTGTTTGTTTTGGTGCCAAAAAATGGTGCAAAATAATTTGGTGCGTCAACCTCCACCCCCCTTATTGCGGAAATCTCCTAGATTCAGAATCCTTGAACTTGGCTGGTATGTCGGTATGCATTCGCTGCATCATTCTTCAAACACCTGAACACGTTCAGACTTGTCAAGTGTGTTTCTAAGTCCAGTTGCTGTAAATTTTGTCCATTTTCGTTCTCTTTACACTGGGAATGTGCTGGTGGGTTCGGTGTGTCGACTTGGTCAAGAGCACCGTCAGCACTTTTTCAAGTAACTGAATGCACTCTGCTGAAGTGGATGTGTTTGTCTTGTGGACGCTTTCCTGGACTGTATTGGTACTGAAGTGGCCCCAAACCGTGTCATGAGGCCACCTAAATACAGTCGATCCCGGATATGTTGAACTTGAAGGGGATAGCGATATAGTCGAATACAGTAGACTCTCAGTAAGTGGAACCTGAAGGGACCAGAAAAATATGTTCTATTTAGCAGGAGTTCCGTTTACTGAGAGGTGAAAATGGGTGCAGAATACAAGCCAAAACCAAGCATTGCAGAGGCAATAGTTCCGTTTAACAGATTTCCGTTTACTGAGAGTCTACTATATATCAATAATTCGAAATACAAAATATGCGTATTTAAGGCCTAAATTGAAGCATTTCAGGCCTCAGAAATCATTACAAGTGGTAACCTAGCAATTTGCTCACAGAATAATGAAGAACAAGGTGTGAACTGCAAGTTACCTCATTTTCTTTCGCATGAGAATTGTCCGCTAACTTGTCTTGCTTTTTGCGTGTTGTCAAGTTTCAGTCATCGTCAATATTATTAAAGCTTTTTCAAACGAGAGAATTCAGCTCCTTCGGCCACAACAGGGTCTATTGTCACAGAATGCTGATGCAAGCTTTGTAGTCTGACAGAGTAGATATTAGTGGCGGCAGCGAAGCCATTGACTTATTCATAACTGCACGAATATACATCCGCACCACTGGCAACTACAGCCATAAATGCAGTCAGAAACATTTACGTTGTTGTCTGCAGCGATGAAGTCCCTTCAGTTCGAGATGGTGCCTGGAAATTCTGAAAAGTCACAGAATTCATTGACGCACCGCACGCCGTTGTCAGCGGTCATGATGGACCTGAAGTCGCCACCTGGTCCACTAAGAAAGTGTTGCTCTAAGCGTCAGTCACAATTTTTATCACTGCGTGCGGGTCAACATTCAGTTCCACTTTCGAATGAGAATTTATCAAGAACGAGGCGAGAAGTACACAAGTCTACAAGGCACGGAAAACCATGCCGAGTTCTACTATCGACATCGGCATGTTGACTATATTGATGGCACTTATGGCTTTGTAGCTGGCAGTCCTTGCTTTCAGCTGCTTTTATGTGAAAAGCTAGTAAAAGCATAGCCTCCGAGACGCGCATTCTAAAACCGAAAACACTAAAAAAAAAGGATGCGAAGTTGTACATCTCGTAGGGAATGGGAACATTGGTAACTATATTTCCAAGTCCCTTCGCATTCTCATTTCGGAGTCCTCTTCAATCGGTCTTTTTGAAAAGCACTATGCCCACACGTTAAGACGTTGCAGATCGCGCATCGAACATACTGGTGCACTTGCATGCGCTGCGCAACAAACTCAACCAGCGTAATCGAATAACACCGCCTTTTCATCACTTGTGCGTGCGAGAATTGATCAATATTTGTTAAGAAAAATGCACTTTCTGGCCCTCGGCGCAACGCAGCATTCAACATAGTGGTGTTCCTGCTGTGCGAGAGTTCAATGTACGGGTGTACCGGTCCCATACTATATTGCATGCGAAATTCAGGGGGATTTCTCAACAGCTCGAAGTGGAAGTGGCAAACGGTGAGCCACGCTATCTTTCCCATCCGTCGACTCCCGTCAGTCGGGGGCTCGTTGGACTTCGCTGGCGGCGCCTCGCGCCCAAGGCGAACGCTCGCCTTTTGTTGCCCCGCTGCGTACGCACGGCGGAAGGGCAGTACGGTGTCCTAGTGCGTGGCCTAGCTACGCCGACCCGTCTCCCTCCGAAGCCAACGCGAGTGCCTTTGCCCTCGCTCGAGCAACCGGGCCTTTGTCCCGGTGTCTCCGTGGATCACCTTTACCGCGGAGACGAGCTCGTGGCACCCTGTGTAGTACTTTGTGCCCGTGGCGTGGATAAGCCTACTCTTGCTTTCCCGCCGCGCCTTTTTGCAACGGGCTGTACTGCGTTTGGTGTTGCCACAATAAAGTGTTGCGACTTGAGCAGTATCGTGTTTCCCGCCACGGCGACGGTTAACGCGTGCCCTGCGGCTCGCTAAGACCGGACCCACGCTGGTGGCCGTACTCCTTCGGGATACGTGTACACCACAAGTGTCGCAACATTGGGCAGCCAAAGTCAAAAGCCTCCATTGGCCATTGTGAGCATCAACAGTGGCGCCATTGGGCAATGCCTACGTTGTATCAGCAACGCAGTTTTGCTTCAGTGATTCTTGTCAGTCTGCTGTTTTCTTTTTTCTACCTTCTTCAGAAATGAGTGGTAGTTGACGGCAGTACACAATAAATAGGCTTTAAGAAAAAAATTTTCGGGTATCCTGAAGCGCACAGCAACCTGGCGGTACAATGGAAATTCGGTGCATTGAAGAAAAGCGCTCGATGCTGGAGGAGCCAAAAGCAGTGCATCACATTCTGCAAAAAAAAAAAAAAAGCACCTTGTTTCATGGACGGACTGCAGTGCACCCCAAACTGGAAACACTACGCGCTGAATTCGTTCGGTAGCTGCTTGCAAGGTCGCTGCCCGTGACAGCGGAGTGCATCCGCGTGAAAGCTATTGGCAAGTGACTCTGGGCTCACAATCACGCAATTCAAGGGCTCGCCAACGTGGGTGCACCGATTTATGAAGCGGAAAGTCTTTGCACTGAGGAGGCGTGCTTCCGTGTGCCAAAAACTACCCGAAGATTTCGATGACAAGCTGGTCAAGTGTCAGCTCTTCGTCATAGCATTGCTACATGGTGGGACACAGGGTCAACATTGACGAAACTCTGATCTGGTTCGATATGCCCTCGAACCGGACTGTGACCGCTAAAGGATCCAAGTAAGTGAAGCTCTTGACAGCGGGGAACGAGCATTCGCAATTTACAGGGATGCTTGCTTGCACAGCCGATAGAAAGAAGCTGCCCCCTTATATCTTCTCAAGAGAAAAGGGCTACAAAAAGTAGACTTTTCCTAAGATGCCATCATGAGAGCAAATGAAAAAGGATTCATGAATGAGTCCCCCATGCTTGAGTGGATCTGGCTCATGTGGAATCGGCGACCCAGTGCGCTTTTTCTGTGACCAAGCATGTTGGTGCTCGACTCGTTTTGAAGCAAGCTCACGGCCGATGTAAAGTGAGTTCTGGTCGATGGCAAGACGGACCTTGTCATGATACCTGGGGGACTAACATCAATCTTCCAGCCACTGGACATAGTGCTCAATAAACCCTTCAATGATCGTGTGCGCGAGCTCTACAATGACTGGATGCTGGACGATAATCTGAAGATTCCCACTGGCCACCTACGATGTCCGGCGCTCGTGACCGCTTGTGGCTGGTTGTTGTCAGAATGGAATCTCTCCCGGAAGAGATAGTGCACAAGCTTTTTCGCAAATGCTGCATTAGCAATGTATTGGATGGTATGGAGGACGATGCACTCTGAGAAGTAGTAGTGAGAAACAGATGTCATTGGACTCAAGTTACGAGTCTGAGTGACGGCACTTTGTGGCCTTCTGGCGTTTAACTACATCAGATTCATCATCATCAGCCTAACTACGTCCACTGCAGGACAAAGGCCTCTCCCATGTTCTGCCAGTTAACGTGGTCCTGTGCTTGCTGCTGCCAATTTATACCCGCAAACTTCTTAATCTCATCTGCCCACATAACTTTCTGTCTCCCTCTAACCCGCTTGCCTTCTCTGGGAATCCAGTTAGTTACCCTTAATGACCAGCGGTTATCCTGTCTACGCGCTACATGCCCGGCCCATGTCCATTTCTTCTTCTTGATTTCAACTATGATCAGATTAGTGTCACAATAAAAAGATACGTCACCACAGTGCAGCTGTTTGTGTCGTATTTTTCAAGGTAAGGGCCCACTGTGATACTTTGTGATTAATTTTAAAAAATTTGTTTTTCGGATATTCAGGGTTGCGATGGGTCAACCTATATTCCGGTTTGACCTGTATTCCTTTTTCTTTTTTTTTTTTTTTTACAGTAGCCATTAATTCAGTTTTATAAATCCGAGAGCCACTGTAGTGGGATACGGACTAGGTGATCTTTTGCGATCACCTCTGTGAGCTTAACACCTAAAGGTCAATTTTTATGCACAAAAAAACTACACCCACACTCGTGCGGCAGAGCGGAGGCCTTCTCGGCACTCCAAAGCTTACGATGACGTTACGCTGAATTAATGGCGACGTTGCACTTTTTGCGTGCTTGTCTCACATAGACATAAGTTTCAGCCTCTGCAAACTGTTCAATTTTTATTACCAAATTTTAAAAAAAAAAAAGCTCTTATAGCCCCGTTGCATGCGTACCTGACCACGAAACATCGTTGGCCGAAAAATAGATGCTTGCAAAACAAGCGGCTTGTTACGTCTCAGCTTGTGACTACACCAGTGTTGGCCGAAACTTGGGCCGCTTGTGTGTTAAAATGGTCGTTACAAATTGAATGCCCGACGAAATGCACCAAAAAGTGTGCTTGTTCTTTGTGAAGCCCAAAGATTAATCTACATAATGCAGATTATGTGCGAAGAATGGGCATCGTATCCTCTTCAAAGCAAGATCACGGCACGTAGGCTTTCCATGACAACTAGCACAGCAGCTGCAACGCAGTCATTGATCACCATGCAGCCGCAATAGAGAAAGTTTTAGTAGCCCTAAAAATGAACATAAAAAAATTATGTTCTACCTTTGAGGACACCACCAAAATACCAGCTATCTTAAGTGCCTAAACATGTCGGGAACACCTACTGCTGCTTACAAACATATGGGGCCTGAAGAACACAGGAATGCGCGCGATACCAGATGAGGTCAATGGCATAGCGTAAAAAGAGATGTGGAAAAGGGAAGTGACAGTGAGGATGGGAGAATGCACATGGATAAAAATAGATGGAAAGGGAGGACAGAAAACAATAGAGGAAGATATTTAAATAAAGGACGAAAATAAAAATCGAAAGTAAGGGGAAAAAAAAAGGCTAGAGAACAAGTACCGAGAGAAAAAAAGTGCTGCTAAAGATGTGAAAGATTTTTTTAGTGTAAAAGCCTTGCCAGGACTAGTTAGGTGCCCACCAGCTCTGCTCTGACCCAGCTTTGCGCAACAAGCTGTGCTAACTTCTTATGTCCTGCAGCCATTGGCAAGCCGCTAAGGTGAACCTTGGCTTCGAACGGCTAATACTCCAGCTCTCCGACACTGTAGTGCAGCCCACCAAGTGCCTTGCAAAGCTTTGAGCCTGTCACCACAACCGAGTAAATTATTCCCCAATCAATTTGTGCAGTCTAAAAAGTGGGATAACGAATTTGATTGTATGGAAGATAATGGATTTAAAATATTACAAGAGCTGCCTTTTTATCTCTAGATTCTTTTGTGTACATCTCTGTATTTTTTCTCTCTAGGTAAAGCAGATACTACCAGAGTTGACCACTCAGCCCGGCTGTGCCTTCCAGTGTGTGCTGAATTGCAGTTTCCCTGTTGACGCCACCGAACTGTCAGCTAAAATACTGTACAAGGAGCTTGTGTTGCAGGTACCTCCTTATTTGTTGCTTGCGTTCAGCGGGTTTTCCCGCTCAACTTCGCATTCAGAAAAAGCAAGCTATAATATATACACAGTGTAGACCACTTATAATGTAACCGCTTACATTGCGGTCTTTTTTCGACTCCCATTTGCTCTCTCATAGAACTCTATTTACACGCCTACCGCTCATTGTGTAGCCGCCCCTCCCCCCGAGATAAAGACTGGTTATAAGGAGGTTGCCGGAAAATTGTTGTGACAGTCGCGGTAGCAACTGTTCATCCGAAAGGAGTCACACTGGATGTGCTGGTGGGGAGCGAGCTAAGAGGTTGTTGCAAAGGTGGAGGGAACGTGCAGTGAACGAAGCGCAAAAGTAGGAAAAAAGAAATGGAGAAAAACCACGGCACGCCACGTGTGCTCGCTGAGGAGGGCCGTTGCCCAGGACGCCTTTGCATCAGCGCTGACGCGGCTACAGTGTACTAGCATCGCCAGTGTGGCTCCGGCTGCGTGATTCCTGCTGCGCGGCTCAGCATTGCCCGTTCGATTACTTCTTTATCAACTGTGCTCAAAAGTTTCCTGTCAAGAAAAGCGTTGTCGTTAGCGAGCTTGCTAGTTCCCTAGTCCGCAAATGCGAAAACTTTTACAGCTCTATTATGCGAGCTTTCTCCCCTGCTGCTAGTGCGGGGTCTTGCATAAGCTTGGCGGGTTTTCATCATTGATGTCCCAGCCGCGAATGCAAATTTTGTATCACGAATGCTGTTCTTGAGTGCGATCGTTTAGACACTTGATCTTCACATCTTGGATAAACTTCCCACGACAAAATACCTAACGGCAGGGTAGGCCTAATCAGCGTTGGTTGCATTTTCGTAGCGGTCGTGTGCTACCTAAGTTGCAGTTTGGTATGAAATTGACAAAACTCTTCACGGTGGCTGCAATTGAAGGGCAGAGATACATACACGCAAACCTCATTATAACGTAACAAGATATAACAAATTAATGGATATAATGAAGTAAATAAAGTTTCCCTTGAAAGCTCCAGTGAGAACCATGCATTTTAAACCTCATTGTAACGAAGTAAAATTGTCCAGTAAATGGATATATCGAACTAAATTAGTCGATCTAATAGTCTATAAAAAAAAAAAAAGACCGACCAGTAGTGTGTTTAGTATATCGTTTTCTACGGAGTTTGACGCTCGTTCGGCGCGGCTCTTTCAAAACGCCCACGCCGACCTTACAGCCACGTCATGCGTGGCTGAGAGAGCCCTCCCTCTCACACAGCCAGCGGAGAGGATTGAGGAAGCGCTCAGCGGGTTACATGACCGAGAATCAGCACCGCGGTGCAAAGCGATTTTTCTCTCACTTATAAGAACACACGATGGGGAAACTTCAGAAGACTTGCATTTATTCACAAATTAGAGGACATCCGTCATTAATTGAAGTAATCGGTGATGCGCGTCTGGACACGTTTGCCTTGCAGCACGTCAATCAATTTCGCACATAGTTTGCAAAGCGTAGTAGTACGCAGCTAAGTCCAGCGCCAACACTTTTTAAAGACGACGGCAACGAATGTGTCTCCGCTGCTACCCTTTGCACCAAGAAAGAAGATTCTCCGCAACAGCTTTCTTTCTTTTTCTTTTTTTGCTCTCTCTCCGCGCGCGACCTTGAAAGGAGAAGGGTCTCTACGTGCAGAGACGGAAATGGGAGAAGCGTGGCTCAGGCACGTCGCAAATCGGCATTTCAGAAAGAGCAAACAATCCGCCACAGTCTTTTCTTTCCTTTTCTTTTTTCCTTTAGTGCACAGCGTTCAGAGATGTCGCCGCGGGATTGGGCATGATGCCGAGAGCATTTTCTTAGCGTGGTATGTTCGAATTAACCGTCTTAAGTGCCTGCATGTTCAAATTACAGGGCGTTTTTGCCCATTGGAATACACATAGCTTTCACGGTACCACAGCGCGAGTTCGAATTACCCGGAAGTTCGAATTAAGCTGTTCGAATTAATGAGCTTCGGCTGTGTTTATTTTCCGTCGCAAGCGTGGTCGTGTAGCGGTACACACAGCTGCGAGGCTGTTTCCTTCTTTGCATTCTTATAGGTGTGCACCCTTCTGAGCATACATTGCCACCAACTGTTATAATTGATATAACGAAATAATGGATATAACAAAATAATTGTTGCTCCCCTTCAACTTCGTTATAACAAAGTTTGAGTGTAGATTGGTGCTCTGTATGGCAGATGCAAGGTAATACAGATAAAACAAAGCACATTAAGGGGAGACGCTCTTCGAAAAAACTTTTTATTTCTAGTCATAGACACTTGAAAATTTTATTAATATAGTTTTTCATGGTGATTTCAAATATTTCAAAACAACCTTTTTGTGCTTTTTGTGTACTTGTTTTTATAAGAAGGAGCCAGCTGAGGTGGGAAATTTAAACACTGAGAAATGCTCTTTCCCATGAGCCCAAGTAGTCTGCTTCCGGCTGGGCTATCACGGAGCTACAATTTTTTTTAATCGCTGTTTTCTCGCGATATCCAGAAAAAAGTTTGACTACCTATGAAGGTGAAACAAATTTTCTGATGCTCTTCTCCGCAATTTTTCAGTGTAGATATTTTGGAATCAGATAGAAAAAGGGTTTCAGTAACAGAAAGCTTGATTTTCATAAAATCGATTTTTTTTTTTGCTATTTTTCGCGATACCAAAGCCTTAACCCCCCCTCCTAAGTGAACTACCTAAAGGTAGTTCGTTAGTAAATACGGTGGCAAAAAATTGGCGCATTGCCAATAGGTTGTCTTTTCTTTTTCAACATTTGGAAATTTGAATGGTTGTAGCACCATGCATCACATGCTTCGATTTTCGGACATGCGAGGTTGCATGCTCAGCACGTATTGCACAACAGCGCCCTCGCAAAAGGTTGTTTTGATTATAGGGCGGATATTCGCGTCTTAACAGTGCAAGCGGTCGATACTGTATTGGAAAAATATTCGCTTCAGTTTGCTTTCGAGTCTCTATATTCAATTTCGTTTTGAACCCAGGATTTTTTATTCTCACAATTCTAATTATATGTGCTTTGTTACTGTGGTCAAGTGAGTTGTGTAACGTATGATGCTGAGAACATGGAGTAAATGCAGAATGTCGCACTCTGGGCGTTCTTGTTTTTTTCCAGGTTGAGCAGCAGCTGGAGCCTGCAAAGGTGGTTGGGTCACTGTTTGACACCTCAGGAGACAGTGAAGTGAATGTCTTGGACAGCTTTGCGCCGCCACCACAAGAGGAAGCATCACCACCTCCACTAGTGTACACTCCAGCACCAGAGACTGCTTCAGCTCTGCAAGGCTGCTCGGCTCCAGAAGAAACTCCTATTTCAGAAAACGTCGCTGCTCCGGAGGAAGCTTCCATTCCAGAAGCCATTCCAGAAGACATCTCGGCTTCAGAGGAAGCTCCCATTCCAGACGTGTCGGCTCCAGAAGAGCAGGTGCAGGAAAGCCAGCCTCCGGTTGAAGCCGGGGTAGTTGTGGCTGACACAGCACCTCCCTCTGTCGAACCCGTGGCTCCCGAGCCCAAAGTGACCAGTTCGGCTGCGAAGAGAGGTCCACCGCCAACTAGGACGTCACCTCCGGCCAACACATCTCGGCCACCTTCGCGTCGGGGTGAGCCTGACTACGACGCTGGCGATGACGTGTTTGGTAGCGCTAACGATGATACAGAGTCTACCAGCAAAGGCAGTGTCCATAGCCAGCAGAGCAGCAGCGAGGAAGATGCTCATGATGGTTTTAAAAGTACCACTGACAATGCTGATATAAGCAAAAATACAGGTCACAAGGAAGTTGGTGGTCAACAAGTTAGCGGTGGTGATAAAGCTGGGGATAATTGCAGCGAACTGCATATTAGTGGTAGTGATGCCGCAGGTAGTGAGAATAGGTCTAACGAGGAGCGAAAAATTCGGTCTAACTGCTAACTATGCAAATATTATTTGATAGTAATAAGATGCAGCACAGGCTTATATGTCTGTTACATTAAAATGTTACGGTGGCAGTGGGTGTCAAGTGAGCACAAAAGGAAGTGTAGCTGGAACTATGCTCATCAATTGTAAATAGTGAATGGCCATTGTTGGTTGGGGGAAGAAAAGGAAAGCAATAGTAATAACTGCAGTAAGTCCATCCATCATGCTTTGCTACAGAATGCCTTAGTTATTGTAATTCAGCTTATATGTTTTACCAAACTTGAAACATATTAACAGTTCCATGGCATGGTTGTGTATCAACACTTTTAAGCATTTTAGGAAGCTTGCATCAATTCAGTTCTAGCTCTGGAACTTTCAATATAGTGGTCCATGGCTTTGGAATGCTAGGGGCTGCACTGCATGCGGAAATATTTTGGGAAGTGAAGCTGCTGCGCTAATGACCAGATTGCTCTTGGTGTGGCTTGCTTGCTTGCATGCTTGTTTGTGGTGGGTCTGCTTCTGAATGTGCTTTTCTCTCTCTCTCTCTCTCCTCTCACCGCGGGGTGAAACCCCTCACGCAGGCTCAAGCAATCGCACGATTGTGCCATGCTATCCTCCGCTCTCAAAAATATCTGGCAAGATGGCAGCTTACGTGATGCATGCTGAAGACATTTCCTGTTTCTACGTGATGCGCAAGGAACAAGAGGAGGCACTGGAAGAACTTTCCATGCGCCTCGACGCTCACTACACCAAAAATCCCGAGCCGGTCGTGGCGCCGCTGCCCAGACTTCCCTGCGTGATCTTCTACCCCCAGGACGAAGCCTGGTATCGTGCTAGGGTTGCAGGTGACAGCTCGTGCGTGCAGTTGGTCGACTATGGCAACACTGATATTGTCCCTGAAGTCAGAGAGATTGCTGCAGAATTTCTCGAAGTGCCACCGTTTTGCTACAAATGCAAGTTGGATGGGGCAATAGATTTTGCCGGCATTCCTGGCGTGTTCGGTGCATTCAAGGAGATGGTTGAGGGTTCAGAGCTAGAACTGGAGGTGATGGCCTGGGGCCCAGAAGTCACTGTGAGGCTCGCTAAGGAGGGCCAGGATATTACCACGATACTCAAGAGTAGGTTTCTTTCTTCTGAACCTGTGGCGTTGAAAACAGATGCTCAACAGAAGCCTGTCGTTTTTTCGGAGGCCACACCCTCCAGCGAGCCTCCAGCTGCTGTGAAGGAGCGTAAAGCTTGCACAGTGAGCCACGTTGACAGCTTGAACTCTTTCTATGTGCAGTACTCAACCCAGCTGGACAGTCTCCCAGACTTTGTGGACAAGCTGCAAGTAGTACTGGCTTCCACTCCCCAAACCATAGTAGAGACACCAGACAGTAGCACCCTCTATGCTGCTCTTTACTCTGCAGACAACCTCTGGTACAGGGCTAGAGTGGAAGGCCCCGCGGAAGAGGGTGGCTTCAGGGTTCGCTTCGTGGATTACGGTAATGTAGAGACAGTGAATTCGGTGGTGTCACTGTGCTCTGAAGAGTTGCTGGTCGAGCCCTTCTGCGTTGAATGCCAGCTTGCTGATGTAAAAGGTGCCGATGACTCGAATGTCCTGGAGAAGTTCATAGACCTGGTCCTTGGCTCCATCTTTTCGTTGAAACAGTGAAGTCTGGAACGCCAATGTCAGTTCAGCTGTTCACCCGGGACGGCATCAACCTGATGTCTAAGCTTCCGCTTCAGAGAAGGTACAGGAGTCCCGAAGTTCCACTTCACCAGAAAGCTCTGGTCAGCATCATGCATATAGAGTCTCCAACCGACTTTTTTGTTCACTTCAATGATCGTCAAGGCGCCTTGGAGACCCTGACGCAAGAACTGCAGGAAGTTCCAGAGAATGAGAACACTTCGGTCGATCTGTCACAGCCATGCATGGCCTACTGGTCTGACGATCTTCCCTACAGGATCACTGTACTTAAGGACAAGGGTGAAGCCGAGGGCGCATCAAGCGTTCCAGTCAAGTTTGTTGACTACGGAAACACGGACACTGTGGAGCGAGCGGGAATTCGCGAGCTCCCCGACGCGCTGCTGTCCGAGCCCCTCTTTGCCATCAATTGCACTCTTGATGTCCCCGAGGATAAGTTGGGCGTAGAAGCACTGGATAAGCTGAAGGTTCTAGCTGACGAAGGGCCAACCTCATCTCTCTTGGCTGAATTTCTGGGTGAGAGGAATGGCCGCTACGTGGTTCGTCTTCTGGATATGGGCATAGACATCTTAGAGAAGTTGCAAGGTGCCGTGCATGATGCCTCCAGAGGTGGCAGCAGCGACGTCACTGCCAACAGTCACAACGAATCTGTTTTCAAAGAAGGAACTTCTGAAGGACCTGAGAGTGTTCCCAAGGCCCCCATTGTCGAAGGAGAAAACAAACAGAATGATCAGGTCTCCACAGATCCTTTCTCTGACAGCGTTTCTGTGTCGGAACCTCCCCAGTTTTCAGAGATAGAAGCTTGCCAAGGCATGTCAGATAAGGAGACAGGGGGGTTTTTGTTGAAGCAGAGTCTCAAGAACAAGAAGGGCCGTCAGACGGAGCACCAAATGAAACTCCCGAGAACTTGCAGAGCAGCGAAGAACTGCCCAAAGAAGACACACTCTCAGAACCAGAGTGCAATGACTCAAGTTTGCGAGTAGACAATGATGAAAATGTAGCTGGAGAACCTGAACCTCTATGCAGTGCAGTGGGTGGCTCTACTGAACTGTATGAGGCGGCTGTGCTTCCAGAAGGAGTCGGTGTTGGTGGTGCCGCTCTTTTGGCAGTTCTCAATGCTGACATGCTTTCAAAAGTACCTCAATTTGGTGAAAAAGATCTCTCAGCTCTTTCCGAGGCCAGCCCCCGATACAAGGAAAAGGGTGATGCCGAAGCTTTTGAAGATGCATTGTCTAAAAGCAAGCGCGAGGCAGAAATCTTCAAAGATGCGCTTTCTGAGGAGATCGCCACCGATGAAACCAAAGGAACATCACATACAGCTGCGACAGAACTGATCGCAGACTTGCATAAAGGCACACCGGTGAAATTGGAGAATGCAATCTCCAGCTTGAGCACTGCCAGTGTGTCAGACAAGCAGTCCACCTTGGCAGGATCTGGTGATACGCATATTGCCGAGACAGTCAGCAGCGAGGCACATCTGGAGAAGCCATTAAAAAATATGGATACTCCAGCTTCGAAAGTTGGCCTGGCTCTGAAAGAGAGCGTTACACTTCCCTCATCACGACTAGCGAGCAAGGATGACCGCTCTGCGATGGGTGCAGCCACCGTTCCTAAAGCCACTGCTTTGAACATCGGTGCAGGGGGCGACGGAAGACAAACCATCGTTCCAAATGGTACCTCCTCGGCAGACTCCACTCCCTTCACCCGACGTCGTTTCAGAAGGCGGCTGAGCCTGGATGACTGCCCAATCCCTGGTGCCTGCACCAACGCAGAACTGCTGGAAATCCAAAGCAGCGATAATGTGAACTGAGGACTAAGACAGCTATGGTCTGCTAGTGCAAGAGTGTGGTAGGTTGCAAAAGTGCCTGGCCAGTATGCTTAACTTCATAGCTTTGCCTTTTCGCCCCCCATCATCTTCTGTTTAATTCATTCTCATCATTTTATTTTTTATTCTGGCATAAGAAAGACTTTCAGCATACGTTATGCAATCCTCGTTTGAAGTTTCAGCACGTTTATGTAAGAATCCTGGAAGTTTGTACGCTGACAAATAAGCACATTTGATACATTTTCCACTTCGTTATGATAACCAGAAAATTTTTGTGATATTGTTCTATCATTGATTAATGAATTCGTTTGTGCACATCCACAATTTGCACTTCTGTTCTCCATAGTGTGCAATCTTTGTTCCAGTTCATATGTTTGTGTGTTTAAGGTTTATCGTATTTTGTTGTTTGCAGTTTGGAAAAATAAAAGATATATTTTTCACCGATTCTGTTTTTCTTCTTTCTAGCTTCAGAGAGTCTGTCTAGCCTGCGTCAGTGTGGGTTGTAGTATGACTGACTAGTCCTGGTACAGCACCTTCACCCAGGTTTGCTAGCTGGCTGCTGCTAGGTGTGGAGCACCTGGTGTGCTTGGGCTGTTGGCGCCTTCCGTCGTCGTAACCCGTCAAAATAAAGCAACTGGCAAAGAGACTACATTCTCCCTAAAAACATGACGCCACCCTGTGCTTCTCCGAGTGGTTAATACGTGCATTGGCTTCGGAAAAGCCGTTACTGTGATGACTACGGTGCGCGATGGCCACTGGACGTTGTTTAGCAATGAAAGGATGGTGTCTTCGCATGTAGACAATGTCCAACGTAAAAGACAATGTGTCCTAAATTTCTGTAAGCTTTAAATGCACAAACAAATATTTAATACAAAACATCACTGTTTGTTAGCCTTACAGCCTTAAAACTAGTGTTAATAACACCATACCTTACGCGGTTGCTATTCTTGGTTGATGTTCGCTCCATTCAATTGATGATTCTGCTTTAAAATTTCTGAGCATTCAAAGAACAATCTTAAAATAGAACTTATAGGGCAAATCCGAATTGTCAAACTATTAGAGTGTGTTTATTATTGTTTTGTTTATTTATTAATTTGAAAATATGGAGCTCTTTGAGCTCTTTGTAGGTCTTCGGCCTCCTAAAGAAACCATACACACTAACTGTAGTCAGCGGTTGGAAACTATTGCCAAGTAAATATGGGGGGGGGGGGGGGGTTAAAAGGAAAGCATAAAGGAAAATTGCATGGTGTGTGCGCATGCATGTCGGCAACCATTCAACACGAACTCGTAACTTAGCTTTGTTTACATTACGGTGTTGTGTATTTACATCGCGTTGATGTCGGTGGGGCGAGGGGCCCTGCATCTCTTTGTCGTGTGGCATGCACTTAATAAATTGTTTCAAGAAGAGATGAGAGCTGAAAAATGCGTTTTTCAAACATTACATGCTTTTCGTTCTTATTTGCTTTCACATGTTCGGTTTCTCGTCTACAACAACAAAAAAACTAAATATTGTATTTAAACTCAAAATAGGTTAAAATTGTTAGTAATATAAATTTTAATAAATTATATTTAAATTCTTTCACACATAGAAGAGCTTTGACATACACCTTGAAAGTGGGTAATTCTGATAGCCAAATTGGGATGAAATTTTGTCTGGATAATTCTCAACATGTGAAGGGTGCAGGTACCTCCCTTAAAAGCTGATTTTGCCTGTCTAAATATTATTACGAGGCTTAAGCAAGTGATTAGTATGGGCAGATGATTCCTCAAAGAGCAACACCAGGGCGTGGTAAGTCGTCAAAGGTGTTCTCTGGTGTCGTGTGCGGAATGTCCAGTAAGCTACATAGGCGAGAATAAGTGCTTCCTGGAAAGAATATGCCAGCGCAGGAACGACATCAGGGAGATGGAGGTGCAATGCAGTGCCCTCACAGAGTAATGCGAGAAGCACGACCTCAAGATTGACTTTGATGACGTTTCTGTCATAAACGGAAAAGAATCTAGAAAGGAGGCTCTTGCTAGAGTCCTGGCAATACACCACACCGGGGAATGTGAACCGGTCCTTAGAAACAATGCCTCCAATCTACATGCATGGCCTCTGAGACGTGAGGGAAAGACGAGCCTAGGACAAGGCACATCGACACTTAATGTCGCTCCTGAGGAAGGGACCAAGCCGGTCTCGAAACGTGGGATTTTCTCCAAGATCGTGGCTGGAGGTGTTTCAACTTCCTCAAACTTCCACTTAGCCGGTCAGACTTGCGTTAAAATGTTATTTATTTGTATTCTACAATTAATGAGGAGTAATAATAGCCATTGATGGCTCAAAGCCATAAAAGTTTAACGCTACATTAAAAAATTTGCCCAAATAAATTATTACACTTTGTCATGGCACGAAAGAAAACTGAAACTTACTACTACAAAACTAGTTCATTGACTTGAATGTAAACAATCGACAGAAGTCTGTCTGGTTGGTATGAAACTGGGAGACGATTTAGACTCTAACCAAAAGTTTTGAAGAAACCCGACGTTTCGAAACCGACTTGGTTCCTTCCTCAGGAGTGACTGTGAGACTACGTAGCAGCGGAGTCTTCAAAGCACTCGCGAGGCGCATAGTGACCCCTCTCTCTCTCTCTCGTTTTGTCGTGGAGCGCAGTCCATGTGTATACACTGGAGAAAGGGTTCTGAAAGAGCAGTTGATGTTAGGGCTGTCCTCTGTATGTGCCGCGACTCGAGAATAACCTCTTCCGAATCGGCTCGCTTTCAAGGACGACCGTTGCTTCGAAATTTACCTGGTGATCTAACGTCTCAGCATGTTCGGCGACTGTGCTGCGTTCTTTGTAGAGCTTCCGCACATCGTTGCCGTGTTGCTTCAGTCGATCCGGTAGGTTTTTCGTCTCACCGATATATGAAGAAGAGCACTCGGCGCACGGAATTTTGTAAACGACACCGGGGGTCCTATCCATTGTTGGCCGGCATTCAGACAGGGGAGGAGGCGGCCCAGCGCACACCTAGGCACGTGCGCGATGCGAACCCCTTCCTTCTTGAAAATCCGCGCCAACATTTCGCTGGTTCCCGAACGTATGGGACCGGTACGCGTTTCGGGAGCTGCCAATTAAGGTAGATTGGGGTTTTCGTATCCTCTGTTGCGCTGCGCGGCGGGTGGCGGCTCAAATGAAGTTTTTTTCTAGGTCCGCAATTACACGGGCCTCTTGTTTCTTTCGCTCCGTGTCACTGGAGCATAAGTTCTTAGCTCTCTGGAGTAGCGTGGTCACAACTGAGGCCTTGTGGCAGGCAGGTTGGGAAGAATCAAATTGAAGGTAGCGGCCTGTGTGCGTTGACTTTCTGTGAACGGAGAACTCCAGGTCGTTGCGCTTTCTTGCCACCTGGACGTCGAGAAAGGTTGGGCAGCGGTCGCTTTCACACTCGGTTGTGAATTGTATGGCTGGGTGCACGGAATTTAGGTGCTGTTTGAAGTGAGACGGTAAGTTGGGCCAGTTGGTTAGGATCCATCGTGAACTTGCAGCGCAACACCAGAAAAAAAATACAGGACAGAGAAGGAGCAAAAGAGAAAGAAAAGACGGCGCTGACTCACAACAGTTGTTTATTCTTTTAGTCTTTTCTTTCTCTTTTGCTCCTTCCCTGTCCTGTATTTTTTCTGGTGTTGCGCTGTAAATAAGTTCACGCTGTTTGAATTTTTCAGACGTCTTCATGATGCAAAAGCAATCGTCCATATAACGAAGAAAAAGCTTGGGTCGCGGAAAGAAGGAGCTGAGGGCTTTCTCTTCTATGTACTCCATGGTCAGGTTGGACATCGAGACGGAGATGGGAGCTCCCATCGCGGCTCCACTGTTCTGCCTGAAAATAGTTTTTTTTTTGTAGGAGAAGTACGTACTGGACAGGAAGAACAGTAGACAGCAAAGCTCGTCAACCGCCAAAGGAGTCCTTTCACTCAAGCTTGCGTCCCCCCTCAAGTGCAGAATGGGCAGAGGAGACAGCTAAGGGCACTGGCACATTAGTGAACAATAAAACGACGTCAAATGAGACCAGGCTCTCGTCATCGTCGATGCTCACATCTGACGCTAGCTGCACGAAGTGGCTGGAGTCATGGACATGAGTTGGTGTCTTCCGGGTTAGAGGGGCGAAGATTCGGTGTAGAAAATTCGAAAGGGCTAGGCATGGGGAGGAAGTGAAATCTACAATCGGTCGGAGGGGGACGTCAGGCTTGTGAATTTTTTGTAGTCCATAGAAACTCGGTGCAAATCCGTTAGGGCAGATCAGTCGCAGGTGAAGTGTTCCAAGATCTGTGTGATGGTTGAAAATTTCCACGAGTAGCTTGTTTAGCCGCGTGTATGCATCCCCTTCTAAAAGAGCTAAAATCTTCCGATCGCAGTCCCCGCTGTCCAACACCACCGTCGAATTGCCCTTGTCGGAGGGCAAAATGACAATGCTCCGATACCATCGAAGTTCCTGAAGTGTCTCATTCTCCTCTGTGGTCAAGTTCTTTTAGGGGCGAAGCTCGTCAAAGCGGCACCCGTTCCTCCCTCGTCATAGTACGTAACATGTCTTACGTTTGACCTGCAAGGTAGTCGTAGTGCGTAACCAGTCTTACGCTTTGACCTGCAAGGTGGTGCTGGTGGGAGATTTCTCCTGTGCGTTGTTTAACAATAAAATATTCGCAGCGTGCGCGTTAACTAAAAGCCAAATTCTCCTGTCTCTCATTCCCAATTAGCAGCCATTGGCATGTACATTGAGCACTATCTGACAAGAAAGGGTTGCTAGGTTATACTCGCTGGGCATAACCTCCTTGGTTTTAGAAAGGTATAGCGAGTGTTGAGCCGCAGTGCCATGAATACAGTGAAGTAGTATATACCATGAACTCCAGGTGGTTAAAGGTGGGAAGTAGACAAGAAGCGCAAGCCGTAAGAAAGTTTGCGTGCGCCATCTCGTTTTTTGAATGTCCGCTGGATGGCGGTGCTTCTATATGCGGAATATATAATGAAAAGATGCGAGATGGTGGTACTTGGAGTGTTGACTAGATGGACGAACGGACACACAGACAGATGCATGGACGGACGTACGGATGGCTGCACGGACAGATGGACGCAGGGGCAGATGCACGTATGGACGCCCGAACAGACGCACGGACGGGTGGATGGATGCGTGGATGGTTACACAAGCGGATGCATATATCATGAAAAGATGCGAGATGGCGGTACTTGGAGTGTTGAC